ACACTAGCATGATCTGGTGAGGTGACGTCCTCTGGTTTGCATTTTATAACTGAAAATCAGAAAAAGAGAATCATCATTAAACTCCAAAAGCAGAGATATTGTATAACTATTGTAATAAAAAAATGTTCTAAGTAAATTTAAACCTGTCTTACTTTCACAAGTGGGTTGTGAATGATTCCAGTGTCCCGTTGCCCCACAGAACAGTGTAGAGGAGCTGGAGTCTTGCAGCGTGTATCCTTCTTCACACATATACTCACAGGTGGATTGATAGCTGAACCGGCCAATAGGATGTTGGCAGTGCATTTTGCCATCCTGTGGACTGATCAGCTCTGGACATTGAACAACTGCAAAAAGATTCATAGACATGTCAAAGGAAAGTGTAAATAATTTAAGCAGGTTTGAACAGCGTCTGTAAATGTTCCTCAGTGTAAATTCAACTCACGTTCACAGGTTGGTGGTTTGCTTGACCACTCTGTGGTAGAAGTGCATCTTGTCGTACTGGAACCCTTTAGTTCATAACCTTCTTCACAGGAATATTCACACTGAGAGTCATATGAGAAATTTCCGTAAGGATGAGAGCAGAGAACACTAGCATGATCTGGTGAGGTGACGTCCTCTGGTTTGCATTTTATAACTGAAAATCAGAAAAAGAGAATCATCATTAAACTTCAAAAGCAGAGATATTGTATAACTATTGTAATAAAAAAATGTTCTAAGTAAATTTAAACCTGTCTTACTTTCACAAGTGGGTTGTGAATGATTCCAGCGTCCCGTTGCCCCACAGAACAGTGTAGAGGAGCTGGAGTCTTTCAGCGTGTATCCTTCTTCACACATAAACTCACAGGTGGATTGATAGCTGAAGATGCCTATTGAATGGAGACACTGCATTTGGCCCTTCTGTGGTTTGATCAGCTCTGGACATTGAACAACTGCAAAAAGATGTCAAAGTGTTTTAAAAAGCATCTGATCAAATGTGTCATTTTTATTTTACAGTGTAAATTCTACTCACGTTCACAGGTTGGTGGTTTGCTTGACCACTCTGTGGTAGAAGTGCATCTTGTCTTACTGGAACCCTTTAGTTCATAACCTTCTTCACAGGAGTATTCACACTGAGAGTCATATGAGAAATTTTCATGAGAGCAGTGGACACTAGCATGATCTGGTGAGGTGACGTCCTCTGGTTTGCATTTTATAACTGAAAATCAGAAAAAGAGAATCATCATTAAACTCCAAAAGCAGAGATATTGTATAACTATTGTAATAAAAAAATGTTCTAAGTAAATTTAAACCTGTCTTACTTTCACAAGTGGGTTGTGAATGATTCCAGTGTCCCGTTGCCCCACAGAACAGTGTAGAGGAGCTGGAGTCTTGCAGCGTGTATCCTTCTTCACACATATACTCACAGGTGGATTGATAGCTGAACCGGCCAATAGGATGTTGGCAGTGCATTTTGCCATCCTGTGGACTGATCAGCTCTGGACATTGAACAACTGCAAAAAGATTCATAGACATGTCAAAGGAAAGTGTAAATAATTTAAGCAGGTTTGAACAGCGTCTGTAAATGTTCCTCAGTGTAAATTCAACTCACGTTCACAGGTTGGTGGTTTGCTTGACCACTCTGTGGTAGAAGTGCATCTTGTCGTACTGGAACCCTTTAGTTCATAACCTTCTTCACAGGAATATTCACACTGAGAGTCATATGAGAAATTTCCGTAAGGATGAGAGCAGAGAACACTAGCATGATCTGGTGAGGTGACGTCCTCTGGTTTGCATTTTATAACTGAAAATCAGAAAAAGAGAATCATCATTAAACTCCAAAAGCAGAGATATTGTATAACTATTGTAATAAAAAAATGTTCTAAGTAAATTTAAACCTGTCTTACTTTCACAAGTGGGTTGTGAATGATTCCAGCGTCCCGTTGCCCCACAGAACAGTGTAGAGGAGCTGGAGTCTTTCAGCGTGTATCCTTCTTCACACATAAACTCACAGGTGGATTGATAGCTGAAGATGCCTATTGAATGGAGACACTGCATTTGGCCCTTCTGTGGTTTGATCAGCTCTGGACATCGAAAAACTGCAAAAAGATGTCAAAGTGTTTTAAAAAGCATCTGATCAAATGTGTCATTTTTATTTTACAGTGTAAATTCTACTCACGTTCACAGGTTGGTGGTTTGCTTGACCACTCTGTGGTAGAAGTGCATCTTGTCTTACTGGAACCCTTTAGTTCATAACCTTCTTCACAGGAGTATTCACACTGAGAGTCATATGAGAAATTTCCATGAGGATGAGAGCAGTGGACACTAGCATGATCTGGTGAGGTGACGTCCTCTGGTTTGCATTTTATAACTGAAAATCAGAAAAAGAGAATCATCATTAAACTTCAAAAGCAGAGATATTGTATAACTATTGTAATAAAAAAATGTTCTAAGTAAATTTAAACCTGTCTTACTTTCACAAGTGGGTTGTGAATGATTCCAGTGTCCCGTTGCCCCACAGAACAGTGTAGAGGAGCTGGAGTCTTGCAGCGTGTATCCTTCTTCACACATATACTCACAGGTGGATTGATAGCTGAACCGGCCAATAGGATGTTGGCAGTGCATTTTGCCATCCTGTGGACTGATCAGCTCTGGACATTGAACAACTGCAAAAAGATTCATAGACATGTCAAAGGAAAGTGTAAATAATTTAAGCAGGTTTGAACAGCGTCTGTAAATGTTCCTCAGTGTAAATTCAACTCACGTTCACAGGTTGGTGGTTTGCTTGACCACTCTGTCGTAGAAGTGCATCTTGTCGTACTGGAACCCTTTAGTTCATAACCTTCTTCACAGGAATATTCACACTGAGAGTCATATGAGAAATTTCCGTAAGGATGAGAGCAGAGAACACTAGCATGATCTGGTGAGGTGACATCCTCTGGTTTGCATTTTATAACTGAAAATCAGAAAAAAAAATCATCATTAAACTCTAAGAGCAGAGATGTTAAAGAGCAAAGAGCAGAACTACTACTGAACTATTGTAATAGAAGTTTTAAGTTAATTTAGGCCCGTCTTACTTTCACAAGTGGGTTGTGAATCATTCCAGCGTCCCGTTGCCCCACAGAACAGTGTAGAGGAGCTGAAGTCTCGCAGTGTGTATCCTTCTTCACACATAAACTCACAGGTGGATTGATAGCTGAAGATGCCTATTGAATGGAGACACTGCATTTGGCCCTTCTGTGGTTTGATCAGCTCTGGACATCGAAAAACTGCAAAAAGATGTCAAAGTGTTTTAAAAAGCATCTGATCAAATGCGTCATTTTTATTTTACAGTGTAAATGCTACTCACGTTCACAAGTTGGTGGTTTGCTTGACCACTCTGTGGTAGAAGTGCATCTTGTCTTACTGGAACCCTTTAGTTCATAACCTTCTTCACAGGAGTATTCACACTGAGAGTCATATGAGAAATTTCCATGAGGATGAGAGCAGTGGACACTAGCATGATCTGGTGAGGTGACGTCCTCTGGTTTGCATTTTACAACTGAAAATCAGAAAACAGGTAACATGGTTACATTTCACACGTTTCATTTTTAACATAGATATATTACCAGTATCTAGAGAAATATTACCCACCATGTTCACATCGCTCTCCATAGAAACCCCCAAAGCATGAGCATTTATGGCTGTTTATGGTTTCGACACACTCTCCTTGACCACTGACACAGGAGTTGTCTTTGCAGGATGCTGAGAAATAAAAAACGAATAATTACTTATATTATATTACATTACATTACATTAATGAATGTGTTTATTCAATGAATACAGCAGAATGACCTTTCTTTAATTTTAATTGAAAAATGCATAGGTTGGAAGACCTTACAACCCATTGCCAGGGGGTCCGCAAAATAATATTAGGGCCATATGATTTCCACAACAGGGAAAATGTAGTCATAAAATGGAATTGACTTTGTAATGCGGAATGTTACGGAATTTGGCAAAACATGGATGAATAAATCAAAAGCAGCATAATTTTAACAGTAAAGCTCTGTTATGCACCACTTTGTTTGACAAAAAATTAAGCAATAGTTAAATAAGTTATAAAATAAAAGTTGATAAATTGTTGTTACATTAAAGTTTTATTATTCAGTTAATGAAATCTCATCAAATCAAATATGCTTTTAGATTACGATTAATAATCTAAATCTAAATGATCTAATCTTAATTTACCCATTAAAGAAAAATCCAGAAAAATTTAAACAGAAAAAAAAAAGTCATCTAAGAGTGCAAATTGTAGTATGCATATGCTTAATCACTGTTATAATTATGAGGCGATCCTTGGAAATTTTTTCTCCCCTGTATGGGGTCCCTAGCCCCCCAAAGTTTATGAACTCCTGCCTTGAAAAACTTTAGAATTGCATAAAGACTACCTACCCGTGTAGCAGAGTGCAGTCTTCTTCTTCAAGCAGGATTCATCATTCCATTTGCCTTCATCTTTCCCTCTTTTAATGTATATTTCCACACAGTCTTCATTATTCCCTCCATTATTGGGCTCCTTATCTGCCCAGTTCTCAGCTTCCTTGGTAAGTGTCTTATTAGTTCCCACCCAGGTCCAACTGCCATTAATTTTACGAATGCCAATCCAGTAATATCCTCTGACTTTTGGAAGGATACTGTTGAGGTGATAAATCTCTTCTTTGTTCTGGATGGCTACCATGTCTGTGTAATGCTGCCTGCACCAGTGTCTGGCAGATTCCCAGTTCATAGTGAACGTTGAGGAATTGTATGACCAGCCTTCAGTGCCTCTCCATAAGTTTAACACTGCAGAATTAAACCATTGCAACTTTGAGTAAACTATGTTTAGAGGTTGTATATACTCAGTTGAGTTTTTACACTAGTACGGTTTGCATTCTTACCTGAAGAAATAAGAACAAGGTAAGCCAAAAATTGCAATGATACTTTGTTGAAGATACCCTGCAAAATTAAAGAATTATATCAACTGTATGAACATAATAGTTATTGATACTAAAATTATAGAAATGCATCATTTAAATGCTTTACGTACCATTGTCAGCTGTACAGCTATGAAATGGTCCTCTTAATGGTCGTCTCTGCACTTCTCTACTAATATGATGGTTCTAATTTGAGAATCTGGTCTGGTAATCGCTCTGTTGGGGTATTTATAAAGGAGCTCATGCAGCTATGGTTCAGAACTTCCCTTCCCGGATCCACTTGTGACATCAGCCAGCAAAAGCAATGGAATTCTAATTTGTGGAAATACCCCTCTCTAACTCTCTAACTCAAGGAGGAAACACTTTCTCTTTTTTACACTCTCAAGGCGTTAGTTTGCTAGGAAGTGACCTCTCAGGAAATACTGTAGAGCTTTTAGTGCTGATATGGCCATAGCAGGAGGAATGCATATTTTCTCAGTATATTCAGAAATAGAAATAACACTTTCATGATGATTTTTTTTTTAATTGTATAAAATGTATTTATTTATTTTTTTTGTGTATATAATTACAACTTTCACTTTTTGGTGTGAAAAAGTAATCAACAGGGAGATCTAATGGCAGAAACACTCACATTTCCTGAATATTTTCAGCTCTGTTTGTAAAGGAAAAAAGGATATAATGGGTCGAGAGGGGAATCACTAGGAATTGTTGCCAGTAATATTCCATTGGTGCCTTTACTGTATCTTCCCAGTTACTTGGAAATACAATTAATGGTGACTTTTTCTACTCTGTGTTGCAAATGACATGGAAAATATACCATAACATTTTAAGACAATTAATTAATTTTACAAACTGATCATGCAAAAGTAAAAATAACAATAATAATAACACTTATTAAAAGGAACACCCATACGAATATTCACAATTCAGTTTAAGTAAAAATCAAAAGTAAAACAGGAATCATTGTATGTGAAAGTGAGACATATTTGTTTAGTAATTAAACCTATCTGGCCTGTTTCAAATTTCCTTTGTTTAAAAGCTGTTATTGTACTTAAGATCCCCAGAGTTTTCTCGTTTTGAAGTTTGAGTTTTTGCAGCTTTATTTCTGTCTGAATTGACCCTTTTTGGATGCCACTCTGTTTAATGTGTTTGAAATATAACGTGTATATAATGTGTATTTAATGTGTATAGAAATAGCTGCCATGAGGGCACCGGAAAATTACTAGTAAGCAAAGAAGAGAAAAGAATAATAATAAATGTGTGTCCAAATAATTTGTGAGAGTTAACTTATCTAATTGATAAAAAACTCATTCAAACATATCCATTTAAAAACAAATCTGATATAAACATCTCCAATGAAGGATGATTGTTTCTATTCTTTTTATTCACCTGAATGATCAGAGTGCATGAATTTATTTACAATGATTTAGTTATCACATCTTAGACTGGGCTAGAAGCAGAATGAATGAATTAAAATTGTACATGTGGAAATGATGATGATGCAAATAACATTGAAAAAATATTTGAAAAAAAAAAAAGTCTGACTTTCTGTTTCAAAAGTACAGCTTGCTAGGAAAAGCTGCACTATAAAACAATTTTGTTATTCTATATGTGATATTTATCGTTTTATTTGGGCAAATGTATCTGATAGAAATTATGTCACAACTAAGGGACAGTTGCAAATAAAAAACATTTTCACAATAAATACTTGAAAGGTTAATGATTGTGCTTTGGATTATCACAGTTGTTAAAATGTAGGTTAATAAACATTTTTATGATGATATTAGGCTTATGATAGATTCAGTTCAGTTTTCAGTTTATGACTGAAAGTCTGAGTCATGGTTTAAGCAATAAAATCTCTACATAAAAGGAAAAGTAGCAATAATTGTTAAATTGATAACATCAAAGCTCAAATAAACTTCATATAACAATAACAAGGCATACAAAGCAGACAAACAATCAGACAGACATTTTTGGTGTTGGTGAAAATGCACAACGTTCTGGTTCCAAGATGATCCTCTTTCATTAATCTTTTATGGCATTCATTTGGGATTTTTTTATTTATTTATTTTATTCTAGATGAACAACATGTAGATACAGTAGCTATGCTGATGTGGGCGGGAGGGAAAGTCGGCAGGTCTGTAGAAAGGAAGAGGTTGTGAGAGGGAGATAACAGGCACAATGTCACACTGACAAGCTAATTTTAATTTTTATCAAGCTTGACGTAAACTGTATGAAGAACCAGACAACAACAATAATAAAAAAAATGTCTGAATTTATATTTTGTACTAATTAATTTACTCCATTGATAGATTCTGCCCCTTTCTTCAAATTTTTTTTATTTTAATTTAAGTTTCTACCAATATTAATCCATTAATTCACTCATTCGTTCTCATTTACATTTATCTTTCGTATTATTTTTATTACGTATTTCCGGTTTGGAGTCTGTTGGTATAGCATACTGGCGCGCGTGATGACTGTATAAGGTTCGTCTGACTGTTGCCTGCAGCTGCCACAGCGAAGATGGCAGACGCTCTGAGTAAAGTGCCCGATGTCGACATTGATCCGGAGGGAAAGTTTAAATACATATTAGTGAACATAAAGGTTAAAGGTGGAACGGAACAAAAAGTGATAGTGAGGGGAACTAAAACTGCGGAGTACCACAGTAAGTGTGCACGCTTGCAAGTGCAATAGCGCGACTGTCTGTTTCTGCAAGCCAGCGAGTTAACTTTATCGTTCTCAGCCAGCTCAGCAGTATTTATAAATCAATTGGTAACATCCATTGACCATTCTGTTCATCACTGTTTATGGGCATTGAGGGAAACGTATAGTAACGTGTCAGTATTAATGATTGCCAGGTATCATTGAATTAATTTTGAGGCTTGATTGACATGCTAAGTTTTGAAGAAGATATAGTACTAGCCGCTGTAGTAATGTGTTTTGTTGTTGTGTTTAACTGTTGTCAGTCTCACCAGACTGAAACTTACAGCAGATCTCAGAATAAACATGATCATGATAACTTCTGGAATGGTTCATTACATCACTCAACTTTTTTTATTTAGATCACATATTTGAAAAAGTGAATCCTGCTATGGAGGCTTTGGGACTGGAGTGTAGTTGTCTTGGTGGTGGCAAGATTGAGCACAACAACACAGAAAAGAAACTTCGGGTGTTTGGAGAGTCTACGGTAACACCCTTAACCATTATAACAACCACTTAATATTGTGACAAAGTTACAGCAGGGGTTACATGGGCACCTGCAACAACTACAGTATCATAGAGGCACACAAGGTAGAAGTAGGCCTACTATTCAGATATTTATCTATCTTTATTTCAAATAAATTTTAATACGAGATCAGATCACATCTCATAATTATAAGGAGACCCTTTAATATGCTTAAAATAGACCGGATATGTAAAGTGAAGAAACCAAGTGTGGGCCTTTCATATCTTTCATACAAATGTTAATTGTTACAGATGTTCTTGGTGTTTTGAGTCAAAGCCTGCTTTTAAAGAGATGATCTCACATTTCTTTTCTTTTTCTAGGGATATGGGAAGGCTGACCATGCTCTCACGGTGGAAAAGCTAAAATCTGTCTTCAAAGACTATGAAATCACTATGGAATAAAAGTCTAAATTGATCACTCTAAATTCATGGGCATGAACATTTTGTGAAAGTATACAATTTGATAACACTTCAGCTATACCTCATTTTCATTTGGATAAAATTAATGAATTCACTCACTGGTCTGTCAGCAGTGTCAAAGTTGAGGTTAGATCACTGACCTTGATAGCGAGGTCTAACCTGCACAGGAACTCTGCATGTGTTTTGCAGAGTGATAAACATATCCAGTCTCCTGTCTCCATCACGGAATGTGTCTGTGTAGAGATCAGGGACAGATAAAAGAGTGTCTGTATGATTCATCATATGTCTAATTTGCTACTGGAATTCATTGAGAAATTTGGCATTGAGATACAAGCATTCAGTGTATGGATTCATATTTGGTGAGAAAACATTTTACTGACTCAATCGCTCTGGTTTCATCATTACAATTAAATTGTAAAGGCCCATTATTGTGTGAAGTCTTACATTTATATAGTTATAGTGTGATTTTCAGTAGAACCCTTAATGGATCTTATTTTATAGATGACGTGTTTTGAACACAAGTGATTTTCCCATCCTGTTTCTTAAGTTGAAACCTTTACCAGTTTCCTCTAGCCTACCCTGAGACCCCGAATATGACCCTCATTGTCTATTACCATTAAGAGGTTAAACGAGAGAGCTTGCACAGCAAGACTATTTTTTACACTAAATAGTGTATTCATTGTTCAATTAAAGTTATCCTAAAAGGTGCCAGTGCCAAGTGTTTTGTTTTTTTAGCAGAGGCCTTCTCAAAAAGGAAAAAAGGTTTGATATCATTTTACAGTGTCAATGCCACAGCTTTATTCGTTTAAATTCAAGGTATTATTTTTTATTTAGAACAAAACTTATGTATTAAGGCTGAACAAGGTAAAGTGCTGTGATTAATTGCGATTTATTTTCCCTGTGAAATTCCCATTTTCCTGTGACATGTTTAGAGTATATTTGAACATAATGGGGCTGTATTTGGAAGTTCCTGTAGATGTTATCGCCATCATAGTCTTCTGTTAATAGGCTTTTGTTTCCCTTAGCATGTGGCTGGCGTATGTGTTTGCACTTACCGTCAAGGATGTTAAAAGAAAAATCTGAAAGTGTCACTTTGAAGTAGAGAGGTGTGGCATATAGTTAAACAATATTGGTAGCCACTGTATGATCTCCAGACAGTATTCTGGTAATTTGATCCGTTTAGGCATGTGCAGCCCCTGTTCCTGCACTCACTTACAGGAACCACTGGATTATTTTCATTCATCTAAATTGAGTCAGTCTTCATTACAAATAAATATATGATTATGAGGAAGTTGAAGATGTGCATTCAAAGTAACTTTTTGTGGTGGAGACAAGAGCACGTCAGACATTAACAATGTAAGAAATATTCATGATATCTCTATCCCCAAGATAACTATCAAAAACTTAGGTCAAAAACTGTATATCTTAAAATAAAAGCAACAGAAGCACTAAAATGTTTCCTTTGTTTTTAAATTTACATTTGCTTTGTTTTCGGGGTGTGATGAGTGAACTTCAGTGCAGCTGAGGCATTGATTCTGTGATTAGGATGGTCCACAGAGCAAGCTTTTTCTTGTTGCTTGTGCATTTTAGAGTGCAGTACAGAGCTTTGTCTACCACTTTTGGAAGGCCAACCAAAGTAGTTTCGCTTTCACAACAAAACACAGTGCCTTCACGACATGGTGGCGGTGGCAACAACAATACTACAGTGAGAATAAAAGTTACGCCTTCTTTCTTTGCGTGAACATTTGGGTGGCGTTATGCAAATCTTCCCACATCGTGACGTAGACATGTGGGGGCGTGTTAGAACGAGCCGTTTTAGGTAGGCGTGGTTGACTTTTATAAAGAATATCTCTTTGGATTTAAGACTTTAGTCTTTGCAACTTTACAGATCTTCTTTATGCACCAAGAGCTTGTAACACTCCAAAGAGAAAGGAAAAATTGAAATCGCATCATATGACCCCTTTAAGAAGTACTAAAGAATAATTTTTAGTACATTAAGTACAAAATTAGTGTTTGAAAAATAGAGCACTTTAAGTACATTATGGAAGTGTACTTTTTTTTAACCTGGGCATCATGTTATAGGGACTACTGAACAGACATTTAGAAGTTGATTTTAAAATTCAAGGTATTTAAAATAAAAAATAAGGCTATGTAAACACTTTTTTTTACAACACATGTTTACAACACTATAAGTGTGTCCCATCAGGTAATGAAATGTTTCACACACACTTGTGGTCTTCATCATCACTTGGAACACTTGGGCCAAATACAGGAAATACATAATATAAGTAGTCAAGTGGTCAAGTGCAAAGACCGCAAGTGTGGGTATTTGGACAAGGCATTTGTAAGTAAATTAAGCTAAAATAAATTAAACAAATTAGCACAATGATATTGTGCATCAGCGATCTCACAGGCTGACTATAGGATGGGATAACTATGGAGCATATCGCCCAACACTACTGCTTTAGTGTGTTTTTGAACTGCAATAGTGGTTATGAATTTTATTCATAACCTACAGAATTTTATTTTCTGTAAATTTCAGTTTGATGTCGATGTGTTTATAGGACAGTGAGGTCATGTACAGTGGAAGGCTGTCATTGGTGGGCGATCTGCTTCAGGGCCTGTTTAAAGAGGCCTATTCCTTGCAGAAGGGCTTGATGGAACTGTTGGACAAAATTAACTTGGAGGACACTGCTTCTGAAGAGGAAGTGTCGGATATTGTCAGAGGTTTGTGGTATCTGTGTGAGCAATCTCAAGTGAAGAGATGGATGCACTTTGCAAGTTATTTTAAATTTTGTGTTTGGCTTGCAGTGATTCACAGTCTGCTGGACATATGCTCAGTCATATCCAGATTGGACATTGCGCTACATGTTAACACATGGAAATTTATCATAAAGTGAGTATAATGTGCATCATGAAATCTTAAATATGCTTTTAATAGAAAATATTTTATGGCCATGTTGCATATAAAGAGGAATTGTATGTGCTGAAGTAAAAAGGAAAGTCTCACTTTTGCTGCATGATTTAAATGTCAGTAACAAGAGTCCAGGTTTTTTTTTTAACTAGAAAGTGTTACACAGCCAAAAAAACCTTCTTGTCCCAAACTTTAGCCTTATAAACGATCAGACATTATAAATTGCACATAATACTTAATTGTTTAATCTAAAAAAATCTGAAAAATGTATGTACTACTGACAGTTTGTGTTTGATTTCAGACAGAGTGTGAAATACCAGTCTCTTGTAGAAGATCGGTTTTTGCCACACTGACATAACCTTCTCGTTGTGTGAAGACCTATATACATCTGTCCAAAACTGTCTTGAGCTGGCTCAACAGATCCAACAGGCAGGCCTACAGGTAGAATCATCATCAGTTAAAATTTTTAACAGAACAGGTTGCGTTATTTATTTATTTAATTTTTTTACACAGAGATGGTAATTGTTTTTTATTGGTTGCCCCAGTATTTTTTAATTGCAATAATGGTGACCTAGAATCATTTATCATAGACTTTTTGTTGGATAAGTTAAAATAAGAAAGTGTTTTTATATAAAAGGTCAGCTCATATCTGACTTCCTCCTTTTGTTTCTCATAGGAAGTTGTGCACTGTCCAGAATACAAGCTTTTCCAAAAAGCAACAAAGATGTGTAGGTTTTTTGCCAACACATTAGTCCACTACACAAAGGTAACTGAGGGGAAAGTGAAAGTTAAAAAACATCAGAACATGTTAAAATGATTGTAAAAGTCTGAAATATTTATAATGTTCTGTTTTTTGTCATGTGATAGGAATTTAAAGCATTTCTTGCCAAGTCATGCTGTCGATTTCACCGGTTGTATCTCCAAATCCGCAGGTAAATGAAAGATATATTGCAAGGTCAACATTCATAACATGTGGATTTCAAGCAACATGATTTTAAAATCATGTCAAGGTTTTGGTTTTGTCTATTATGTCTAATTAAGCTTGTGGTTTTTCCCTCCTCAGCAAGTTCCCTCCCTCTGTGTGTGCCCCGTCTGTGCCCTCTGCCCTCAGTGAGGAGTTGAGAGTGGCGGTTCTGGTTCCCATGGATGCCATGCTGACACAGCTGCTCTCCTTCCGACCCTTTGCAGAATCTGTCCTGGACCCAGATCACCGTGAGCTTCTTCTTGCAAACTATTATAACAACTTCCAGGGTCCTCTTGAACCCTGGAACATTCCTTTAACATTTCCTCCTTTGGCTTGTACATTGTAAGTTCATAGATCACTTAAGCTGGTCATTTAAGTTTTTGTTCTGTTTGTAATGCGAGTGGTGGGTCACTGTCTGCAAAATCTCAGGAGGGTGAAAAGAATTGTTGATGAATTTCTTTCATGCCAAGGACATAGTTACATAAAAATGCAGAGATATTGACTGTCCATGACACATTGCTGAGTGTATATCCTGTGCATTTCCAGGTCACTTAAACTGAATTAGTGCTCGTGCCCTTTCATTATTACAGGGCAGTTCATCCAGCATTGCAACATGTGGAGTTGCACTCTCTGTCTGACAGGTTTTGGATTTTTGCCTGATTGAATGCAGCTTTTGCGAGCCACTTTAAAGACTGTACTAATGTTAACTTCAGTTATTAGGAAAATGCAGTTTGATGTTTGCAGATTAATTACAGGCTCATAGGTGAGGGAAAATCATTCAGTATTTCATGCTGTACACTATGGAGCTTATCACATGAAATGGGTGTGTGGGGGGATGGGTTGGGATGATAAAAACAAATTCTTGTACTAATTCATTCCGTTGTTTTAGTAAAATCATGCCTTATAAGATGTAACGAAATTAAAATGAAAGAACAAATTAATAAAACTTGACCACAGTTCAAACAAGGTAGCTAATAAATTTTGGGAACAAATTTTTAATTTTAGATTTCTTAAATTTTTTTTTTTAATTGCCAATTAGTTTTTCTTGTTGCTTGTGCATTTTAGAGTGCAGTACAGAGCTTTATCTACCACAGTGTCTGCTACTGGTGAATGTACTGGGTAAACTCTCCTCCTAGCCAGAGGAGGTCCTGCGGCTGTGGAGTGATGGCAGCCAGTTTTCCGAGGTGTCCTCGGGTCCTTCAAAAGTCTTAAATAGCATTTTGCTAATAAAAGGCCTTAAAAAGTCTTAATGTCTTAAATTCAGATTCGATGGGTCTTAAATATTTTTGGTCACATTACTGCTAAAACGTCTTCAGTCTGACAGACCTAATGACTGTTTACAATCATTGGATAGATCGACCGAAGATTTTTTTTCTCCCCCGCGGTAGTTACTGCATCATCAGAGAGAATGTCTCCGGTTGCTATCGTAACCTCGGTTCCCTGAGAGCGGGAACGAGACATCACGGAGACATTTCTTCGCTTCCAACCTTTCCTGAAGTCCTATTGGCTCACGCCAGTCCAAATGACTGGCCAATTGTCGCGAAGTATGCAAATCGCATACAAATACTGACGTGCTCGAGAGGCAGTATAATATGCGGTGCACGCTAGGGATGGGCGATACCACTTATTTTGTTTTCGATACGATACCGATATTTTTCAAGGCAGTATCGTCGATATCGATACCGACTCCTTCCCTTCCAACCTTTCCTGAAGTCCTATTGGCTCACGCCAGTCCAAATGACTGGCCAATTGTCGCGAAGTATGCAAATCGCATACAAATACTGACGTGCTCGAGAGGCAGTATAATATGCGGTGCACGCTAGGGATGGGCGATACCACTTATTTTGTTTTCGATACGATACCGATATTTTTCAAGGCAGTATCGTCGATA